TTCCATTCATCCGTAGTCCGCAAAATTTTCGGCGACATGTCTGTCTGTACGTCTTTGCAGCGCAAAGTTTGTGCAACCCTTGATGAGACCCTGAAAACATTTGACAGAACATCAGTTCGGACCTTTTTTGTATTGTTTGCTCTTGTTCGGTTTTTCACAGTTTCTGCAGGTGGTCTACCCGTGCCTTAGAGGAAGTACCAGGAGCAATCGTGCTGAACAAAGCAAAAGCACTTGCCTTGAAGTGAAGCAGTGAAACTTTACAGTTGCAGGTCTTGAGGTTCTCTCTATTTTGTTTCAACAGTCTCAAACCAACATGATTTACAGGTTGTACTTGGGCTTATGGGTGTACCTTTGAAACCGTTTAATCTCTTTCTGCGACTTCGCAAGGTCTTCGAAAATGCTGAAGCCATTTCCTTACAACTTGCAGACAACTGCAGTGGTCGAGAACAATAGTTCTCTAGTTCAAATGCATGCAGATGCTTCAATGTTTTTTTGCAGATTTGACCTGGCAAAGGACACCGCAAAGACTTTTTTCGAGAAACAGCAGATTGAGAAGAATCTTGGCATGGGAAGAGTCTTTGAGTTCTGTCCAAGATAGAGTGACACGGACATCGCCAGCCTTTGCATTTCGTCACTACATGTCCATTCTACCAGGAAAACTACAATGCACCTGCACAGTTGGCTCGATTCGCGGGTCAAACCCAGAATTATTAGATCATTTCTCGACATGATCTAAGGTTTTTGGACATGAATATAGTGTGCTTTCATACCGTTTGCAAAACCATGACCGAGACCGCAGCCTTTTTAACATGCCTCTTTGTGCCGCTCGTGCACCTTCTTTGCCATTGCTTAACAGTTCGCCCATCCAAGCTGCTCCCTGTGAAGGAGATGCCTTGATGCCATACGAAACTTGGACTTCAAAACACCTTGCCGAATTGGAGCTTTTGCCTTCTGATTTGAGAGGCTGTCTGGGGCTTTCCGATGCGGTTCTTTCCCATCCTACTGAAGTTGCAGGTTTTTTTTTTCTTTGCTGCCAGAGAACAACTACACTTGAGCGGCCAGGTCCACCTGATGAACATGAAAACTGACTACTGCTCCAAATAACGGCAACCATTGCAGCTCTACACACAACCATGAGTGATGCGACTTGCAGTCAATTGGAACGCCAAGCGATGAGCACTGTTCACTCAATCTCGCCCATTGCCTTGCCTCACTGCTTAGCTGCAGAGCTTGATGCCACAACACGGTTACAATTCAACATGTTGAGGAACAACAAGTTGGTACGCGGAGCACGCAGAGTACGCACTCTGTAGCTTCCAAACAAGATTTGAAGCGTTGATGCGTACCGTTTCAAGGCAATGCCCATGCTGGGCACATGACAAGCTAAAGCAGCTACAGTCGATCAAAAGAGCTCAAGCTACTTCTACAAATTCTCACTGGTGGCAAAAGCGCTGCAGCCGGTATGCCCAAGAACAAAGAAGACGAATTTTTGAGGTCGCAAAAGAAGACTAGGGAATACAGGAAGAGACACACACACAGGTGAATCCACAACAGATTCCAGCAAGCAGTTACAACCATACACAATCATGTATTGATATCCAATGTCCAATCAGGTATTCGTATCTAATGTCCAATCCACAATTAAGATTTCAGTTTCACCGATAAGACCCAGCTCACCCGATTATTGTTGTGTATTCCTTCTCACACCAACCAGGCAACCTCTGAGATAGAGACCACTGATACACAGAGAGAGAGAGAGAGAGAGTTGTGTGTGCGTTTCTTTGCGTTTTGTTAAATGTTTTTTGCACCTCTCCACAGGACCACTGAGAGAGAGAGAGAGATGGAGAGAGAGACTTTTGTCTACGTTCCTTAACGTTTTCTTTTTTTAAACGTTCCTTTACTCATTCTTATGATGATTATTGAATACTGACTTGTTGATGGCTATTTAACCTCATGCTCGGGTTTTTCTTGGCGATTGGATCGCACCTTTTTGTCGGGGATTGGATAATCAATGTTTATTTTCATGGTTATGCGATTTTAGTTTGGGCAGGCAACTTTCTATCAATCGAGCACTAAATCTTTTTCGTGGAAACGGCGTCTCAGGAAGAGACCGGATCACACATCACAGCTTTCGTCACACACTTTCCAACCTACTGTCACCGAGGGAGAAGGCGACGCAGAGAGTCGAAGGCACGGTGGATCTGTTCGAAATTCTTGCTGACAAGGACAAGGCCCCTAAGGCGGGTTGGGCTCTTTGAGAGACGAGCAGACGGATGATGTTCAGAGAAAGGCGTTTTGGCAAGCCATGCTCTGTGCTAGAATACTGGGTCCGTATCCCTCGACGACATCGATGGCAGTGACGAGGACTTTTAGTCCAACAAGGTCACAAGGCGGGATGTGTTGGCTCGATGTGTTACTTTGCCCAATTCGTTTTGCCTCCGGCTCGATGTTTTTTCTGGGAGCGTTTGGAAAGTTTTTTCCTTGGTTTTTCCACAGAAAGGGTCGCCGGTAGTACACTTGCCCCTCTAGATCTGCAAGCAGCAGACTTTTGCACTTCTAGACTGCTGCTGCAGATCTGTTTGTATTATGGTTGCCGTTCTAGATGTGCAAGTTTGAGATTTGTACATCTGCAGTTTGCAGGTCTGCCACGCAGTGTCTAGTCTTCTTAAGCTGCTGCTTCAGATGCTCTACTCCTGCCATTCTAGATGTGCTGCTGCTTGAGGTGCATTCAAGCAGTAGATTGCTTTGCGTTGCTGATTTGGTGGTTGCTGGGTGTTGCTGATTTGGTGGTGCATGTCGCTGGGGCGTTGCGTGTGCCTGATGTAGCTTTCGCTAAGGTCTTGCTTCAGCAAACACTTCTGCTAACTCAAATTATGCCCCGCCGGCGGCCTGGCCGGACAGGGCTTGCGAAATGTGACCCTCTGCAAGAATCGTGCTGTCGGCTGTGCAAGCATGAGGTGAAGTGCGAATTCCAGTATATGCCACAAACATGACAGCAGATACTACTTGGACGCACAATGCCACAAAATATATGAGATACCAGTATACCAACTGAACCCTTGAAATGAAACAGGAACTACACATTGAAAACGGCTTTAAAACAGACTCCATTGATAGTTTGGCAGTGATTTCACAAGAAGACTAAACGCATGAAAGCACTTTGACCTGACGCTGTTTCCACATGAGGACTTTCTTTTAAATGTGTGAATGTGGTGCTCAAGACAAGAGGGCCGGCAGGGTAGCTTCGCATGAAGCCCTCGACCTTGGGACTGCTCTGGGTGGCCCGCCTAGCGGAGGTGGGATTGCGCAGTTGGCCCAAGGAATCGAGGCAGGGCAAACCTACCCCTCAGTGGGTGAACCAAAGCTGTGCGTGTCAGTGCCTGTGTTCAGAAGGGGCTCAAGAGATTTTGACCTGGGAGTTGGCATAGCGCTGGGAACGATCTTCACCTTGTTGTTTCAGGTAGATGAGCCACTTGCGAGCCCGAGGAGACGTGGAGGAGGTACTGTCCAAACCAAGTGCCTGCCCGGACAGGTGGGCTTTGTTTGGTACAGTGATGATTCGGTGTACCACGAGAGATTGATGATTTGGCGTGCCTCCCCTACTGAATGGTTTGTGTTGATCCCAGATGGTGACTTCTACAAAGGACTTTCGAGGTGGAAGTCCGAGTCCCCCCTACTTGGAGGGTGTTGCCATTCGAGAGATACAGCCCCATAGACTTTGAGAAGGAATCGAAACGAAAGTTTCGAGTGTTGAGAGTAGGAGGAGACAAGTACTTGTTTGAAGAGAAGAAGGTTGTGAAAGTCTTTTGGAAAGAACAGTCGAGGACATTCGCATTTGTGACATTTGAGAGCAGACACCCTGATTGGACTTCAAAGCAAGACACCCGAGATCTTCAAGCCCAATACGCGAGATGAGGAGCTCAGACAATGGCCGGATTGGAGATTTTCTTTCATGCAGTTCATGAAGAGTGTAGATCCAAAGATAGCCGAGTTGTTGGAGACGATCAACAAGAAACCAAGCAATGCATATGAGCTGGATATAATGGACGATGACACAAAAGCATTGAGCATCAAGTTCTATAGCATTCTGGTTTCGTACATGAAGGACAGGCCGCTGTCCCTCATCAGGCACTTGGAGGACTTCAATGGATTCAAGGGTTGGAGCCTCTTGGTGAAAGACATGGAACCATCAACAAGGCAGCGAGCATTAGCATTGCTGACGCAGTCGGGTCGAGTTGAAATTTCCCGAACAAGACGATAGCTGAACAGATCCCTGCGTATGAAACGCTGGTGAGAGAATATTAACGTGTTTCAGGCAATATATTTCCCAGGAATTCCATGCTGGCAGCTATCCTTCAAGCACTCCCCATTGCATTGAGAACACAGGTTCAACTGCAGGTCACAGAGACTGCAACGTATGAACAACTCAAAGAGAAGATCATGCATTATGAGAGCATTTCCGCACGTTGGGACTCCACGAATTCCTTGCAGATGCCCATTCGACAGTCAGATGAGGCCGCGCCCATGGAGATCGACGTGGTGTCCAAGGGGAAGAAAGGAAAAGGCAAGGAAGAAGGAAAAGGAAAATCTAAGAACAAAGGAAAAGATGATGGCAAGAGCAAATGTGGCTCCATGTTCAAAGGAGTCAAAGAGAAGTATGACAAGGGCAAGTCGAAAGGAAAAGACAAAGGTAAAGATGGTGAAGGAAAAGATGCAAGACCCGCATGCCACCACTCTGCGGGAGAAAAGGGCATTTTGCCCGAGATTGCCGGGCACCGAAGCGAGTTCAGCAAGTACAGGCCTCAGAAGAAAATCAGTCCACAGCAGGGCAGAGTGCGTCATCGACTGCTTGTTCAGCCGACACAGGAGATCGAGGTTGGTGGCGCAGGAATATGCAGTGGAGAAGAGGGATGACGTCTACTCCCCGATTTTTTCCCAGGTCTCAAGGCCCTTGTATTGGAAGTGGAGGTTTTTGGGGGGCCCTCAACTGCTGGAGTGAGGCTTTTGACACCGCCTGATGCCCTGCAGACCGCAGTCTTTGACATGACTGAGCAGGATGACGAAGATGAGCGCTATGAAGATGTGAGCCGAGTCTGGATGGTGACTCAGCTTGATCCAGAGAGCCCTATGTCATCAGATGATGAATGGAAGATGGAAGATGAGCATAAAGAAGACACTTGTGACGTTTTTCATGAGTGTGAGGAGGAAGAAGACATCTGAGCCCCTTCAGGTGTCAGTATAGTAGCCATGCGTCTCCAGGATGATGAAGCTTCACTGGGAGAGATCCCAGAATGCGAGGCTAAGGAGAAGAAGGACGACGAAGAGTTCCACGTGAGGATGGCGCAATCAGTGCCAGAGGGTTCTCAGATGGTTTCCATCACCCTGGACTCAGGAGCTGACATTTCGGCTCTGCCCATCAGCCAGGGATACGCCAACGTCGGTGAATTGGATGAGAACGGGAAAGTCAAGATGATTGACGCTCAAGGCAAAATCATTGCCTCGGCTGGAGTGACAAGAGCAAAGGCTGGACCATTGATCGCAAAGATTGTGGCCTATGCCTGAGGAATCCAAAGACCGAGACTTTGATCCCACTACGCATGGAGAACAACAACATCCATCTGAAGGCCAAGATTGAGATGGTGAGTATTTGCCAAGTTGATGAGGAAGCACTCCTACGACGACGAGAATATGAATGGTGGAGACTTGAAGACAAGCAACGAAGACGTGATGGAGGAGAAGAAGATGTGAGCGCAGACGATGTGACAAGCCATGAGAGCATTGACGCACCAACCAACCGGATCTATGCCCTTGAGGGGTACCTCAGCAAAGAGCTCGGGACCATTTCTCGCACTCCAGGTTGGCATCGTCTTCCAAATGGTGTGGCAGTTTATTCAGATGCAACAGCAGACAAGTTCTTGGACCCAGAAGGCATGGTGAATGACAAATGGAAGAAAAGCATGACACTGATGACGAAGCCTGGAAGAGAAGGAATATGGTGCCAACTCGAGAACCTGAAGGACTACAACGAACAGGGAGATCTCGCTTTCAGGTACTTGGTACCTTCATGGGATCCTCATCGGGCTTTGACGTTCATAAGGCCTTCAGGTTTCGAGGACTTCTATGAAGAGGGCAGTGAGGTTCCTGTAGCACCATATCCATCAGTGAAACACGCATGCGTCAGATTGAATGGGATGATGAGGATGAATGTGTACAGGTGAGGCAGATGAAGCAGCATTGGCTATGGAAGAGCCCCAGCATCATGAACGTGATCCACACAAGGAAGTTGCCTTAGACGACGAGGTTTACACCTTGGAGGACGAAGGCAAGAAGTTGAAAGAGGCTTGTGCTGAACGTGGACTTCCCACAAGTGGGACACAGAAGAGGCTCCTAGCAAGGCTGCGTAATTTCAAATTACGACTCAAATGGGAGATTGAGGCTGGCGTTGCAAAGAAGTTGTATGATGAAGACAAGAGAAAGCCAGTAAGCATCAAAGTTCCCAAGATGCCAGATCGAGAAACACAAGATCATCACAATTTGACGCACATTCCTTTTGAATCTTGGTGTGAGGCATGTTTGGCGACTCGTTCCAAGGAAGATGGGCACAAGCTTGCAGAGCACAAAGAAAAGACAGTTCTGTCCTTATTATGCCTATACCTTCACCAACGACAACTATGAGGAAGTGTTAGGTGAGCATGCAAAACCTTTGGAGCGTCCAAACCAGGATGGCACTATGTTGGTAGCAACGATCTCAGACACCAAAGCAGTTCTGGCGCTCCCGGTTGTGGCAAAAGGCACAGCCAGCTTGAAACATGAAGTTGAAGAACTTGGGAGATTCAGTCTACACAAAACAACCAGGATGACATCATTGCGCAGGCTGACGGTGAACGCAGTTGCCTACAGATCCTCAAGGCAATCCAATTAGTTGAAGCTTGTGAGGAGATTGAAAGCCGATTTTCCGATCCGCACGCTGCCTTTAGCACCTTCGTAAACGATAGAGTTTTTGCCGCCAATGATCCCGACAAAAAATTTGGGCCATTTGGCAGGCATGGAAATCGTGGTGCGTTCGCATCTTCAGAAGAACTTGAAGCAAGAAAGAGAAAGTTTTCAATGATGAGCAGGCAGCGCAATCCCAGAGACAAGACCGTGAGATCTCAGGACAAGAGCACGGAACAAAACGACCTCCCAAGGAGAATGATGAAGTTGAGACAAGCTCCACGTCAGAGAGGCACTATCCACCCGCCTATGCAGGTGATGTGAAGCGTGTCAGAAGGGAGTATGTTGGAGATGAGCCAGACAATATGGTCACAGATATTTGGGATGAAGAGGCAATCCTGGATGAACAGATGGACCAGGAGATGAATAGCGGCGACGGTGAGCGTCCACCAGAAGTTTCAGATGTTGTCAAAGCTAGATGTCCTTAGCTGAGGAGGAAGAGCTCAACCGCTTAGAAAAGATGCCTGCCACTACAGCAATCAGTGAAAATGAAAGCCGTGAGTACAAAATCATTTCAATCAGATTGAAGAAGAGGCAAGAGAAACATGGCTGGTTCAGACCTGCCAGACTTGTGGCGCGACAATTCAAGAAAGGCACAATGTTTGAAGAACGTGATACATTTGCACCAACCTCAGCAAGTGTGGTCCCACGACTTTTTGCATTCAGTTTGATGCAGATGAAGGGAGCTTGGCAAATGATGGTGGCAGATGTGAAAGATGCTTTTCTCATGTCAAAACAGCCCGAAGGTGAAAAGAATGCCATTAAATATCGTGACAGGTTCTATCGGCTTGAACGATGTCTTCCAGGTCAGCGCGCAGCAGCAGAGCAATTATTTGAATTGTTCAATTCAACTGCGCGAGCACTGGGAGGTGAAGCTGGTTTGATGCAACTCACTCTTTTCCGAATGAAAGATTTGTTGATCAGTGCGCGCGTTGGCGATTTGCTTCTGCTTGGAAGCAAGGAAGCTATGGATCGTTTCATTGAGCATGTGACAACAAAATCAGGCTGGAAGATGGAGATTGAAGGCTCCTTCAGAGATGTTGGAGATGAATTCATGTACTTGAAGAGGAAGTACAACATCACCAAGGACGGCATCGTTGTCAGGCCAGATCCACGCCATATTGAGGAGCTGGCAGAAGCGTGTGAAGTTGGCAAGAAGAGGCCAAAGAGCATCCCGTGTTCCACAGACATCAATAGCATTGCACATGGCCATGATCTTGGCAATGCAGACTGCGCACGTTTTCGAAGTTGTGTTGGCAAGACTATGTGCGCCAGTGGCGAGCGACCAGATGCACAGTATGCAATCCACGCGCTGGCAAGAATGATGAGCAAACCGATGAGCTCACAAGTGAAGCATGTCATCCACCTTGCTAGTTACCTGAATGGGACAGCGAACTATGGCATCACATAAAAGCTGACGAAGAAAGGCATGTCAGTGTTGGACAGGAGAGAAGTGGACAACATTGGCGAGCAAAACTATCACCTTGTCGAATTCGTCACAGATGCAGATCTGGCAGGGTGCAAGCAGTCGCGAAAGAGTATGACAGTACATGTTTTCACATTTTCCTGGACGGTTGTCTCATCGAGAGCAAGGTCAGGAGTCAGAAAGCCATTGCATTGTCCAGTGGAGAAGTTGAATTTACAGCAATCGTCGGTGGCTGTTCAGAAGCTTTGTTTGTGAAGAATGTGGTCGAGCTCATGACCCAGATGACGGCAAAGGTGAAAGCTCGAAGCGACTCATCAGCCGCAAGATCCATGACTGCCAGGCAAGGCGTTGGCAGAGTCAGGCACCTTGATAGTGGCATGATGTGGGCGCAGAAGAAGGTCATGAATGGCGTGCTCGGAGTCACGGCCATCCCGACACTGCTGGATCCGGCAGACATCGGGGTTAAGGGACTCAGCCAATTCAGGCTGAAGGCATTGTCCCACATGTTGAGCATTGTGGACGACTATGATGTGGAGATTGGAGAAGATGAGCTCAAAGAGACAGAGTTGAAATCCAAGATGCAAAAGAAGGTGAATCGTGTCATGAGCCGAAGTCGAGATGACATGAAGCTGGCATTGGTTATGCTGATTGGCTTGATTTCAGGTGCAGATGTTGCAAGCACCGAGGGTGATAGCAGCTGGTTGGACTATGCTATGCTCAGTGTGTTCACATTGAATGTCAGTGGAGCCTTGAGCGTGGCCGCGGGAATGTGGGCAATAGGCCGCTGGCTGACGCGAGATCATGTGAGCGCAACAGTTCGAAGTGAAGGCCGAGAAGTACAGACTGAAGAGAGCGATGACCCAAACATAGTATATCAGCTGCACCAGCGAATCGACAGACTACATGAACAAAATGATAGCATACAGCGAAGACTTGATGCAGAACAAGAACTGAGTGTGGCGCGTGAGAATGATTAGAAATTTGAGAGGCAGCAGAACGCCATTTTTGCAAGTTCAGTGCGCCAACATGAAGCACGACGGACGCGCAATTTAGATAGGATGATCACAGTTCATCCATGTGGTGATGTCTACCACAATAGCCCGCAATGCAGATGGCTCAGAGGTGGACGCACCCTAAGCTTGTGCACATTTTGTAGACGAGCAGCACACGAACAAGAAGGCAGCGTGTCAGTATCTGATGAGGATGTAGTAGGCTTGACCTAGTGTAACCTACAGTCTTGTTCGTGCTTGACGTGAGTCAAGGCTCTGATCGCATTTAGGCTCCATTTCGCGAGCTGAAAAGGCGTTGCGCTTTCGTGCTGCCGTCTTCGGCGTGGGTGGCTCACACAGGACTTGGGCAAGGCGCTTTCGGGTTTGGGTGGGGTTGGTGCTATTTTCCTGCCGGGGGATGGGTTGCTGACATGTCATCCAATTTTGCCGGAGTGGTTGCTCTCTGATGCGTCAATCAGTGCTCTTTGTGCCTTTGCAGGCGTTCTGTATTCCCAAGGCTTGATGTTGCCCCAAGATGCATTTTTCGGCTTGCAGAGCTGCGCAGTTCTTGTAAGAGACGCTGATCGAGAATTCTGCGTTGTGGACAGTGTATACTACTTCTTCATTGGTTTTCTCTCAACTCAGTGCCCTTGGCTTCCTTGGCTAATCCGACCGTCCTCATCCTTGTTTCATCAAAATGGGTGTTACTGCTGCAAAGTGCATTCTGAAAGACTGGGCCAGCTAGTTGTAAACTCAGTCATGTCGTGCCGCGTCATTATGGAAATGGATGTTGCGTGCACGTTACGGGTGTTGACAAGAGAATGTGACATGCGGAAAACAAATGTTCTGTCTGACCAACCAGGTGTAGCCATTAAAACCTAACGAGACCAACGTATTTATGTGTTCCATCACTGCTCACCGTTCCGACCACGCGCTTCAGGTGGCAAGCGTCCCCCCGACAACACAGTGAACCTTGCAGATGTCCTTCAGTGCGGTGCGTGGCAAAACAATTGCGCTTGGCGAATGGTATCACTGGAGGTAAATGCCTCGACAAGACCTAGCTAGAAGCACAGAACATTTGCACAAAAATGCAGACTCAGACAAGTCTCTAATGTTGGAGAGTACATCTGCAAAATTCCAAACAGCCGTAGCAGCAAGGCTCAAGCTGCGCCGATGTACGAAATCTCGGACACCGACAGAATGTAGAACACTGGCAGACTGGAGTGGCGAAGACTGCTGCTCATCAAGACCCATGGATGGCGAAGAAAATTCGGTGTTCGCCATCAATCCCATGGGTCTACCATTGAAAGAGCTGCGACGGCTGAAGGAGAATGATAGTTTCCAACTATGTACGTTGCTTGACAACATTGCTTGACAGCTGTGGCGAAATGCACGGAAGAAAGCCGTGACATATGGTGCAAAGTGCGCCTCGATGAGTGAAACAGAGCAGTGCTGCCAAGCAGGACCAATTTCAAGATGAAGAGGGGCAACCTGTGAAGCTGGATGAGCAGCTGGATTCTGAGTGGTGTAGAGTTGCACACAGCTGACTTGTCCTGACAGACATTAAGTTTCCCTAAAATCTAGGAAACTTCCCCCGCTGCCCTGTCGCGGGAGTTTCTTTGAAGAAGCGGGAGCTATCCTGCGTCCATACTAGTAGCTTAAGTAAGCTACTAGCTACCTAGCTACTAGCTACCTCTCTGGCTACTAGCGGCCTACCCCCCCCTTTAAATAAGAAAGAATTGTAAGTTCTGTGTTGGGTCTTTGCCAGGCAGTTTGTCGATGCATTGTTGTCTCGGCTGGCAAGCTCTGCTGGCACTTCCCAAGATGAGCTTCTAAGCTTAAGGTTGTGACATGTGACTCGAAGCTAAAAGTTAATTTGAACTTAGACTTGATATTTTGAGTTGGTGTTTGCCTCGTGTTCGTTCGTTCGTTCGTTCGATCGTTCGTTCGTTCGTTCGTTTGCTCGTTCGTTCGTTCCAAGGAGACGTCGATGGGATGCTGAGCTGCGAACTTTATTCAAGAAGATAGATGCAGGGTGTTCTGAAACTGTCACTTGGGAGGACGCTGTGTGTTCCCAACACCTAAAGGGACTTGATTGGTGCTTGTGTCATTTATGCAGGAGTTCACCAACTACATGCTATTCCATGTGCCGGGCTTCAATTCTGGTGACGGAGCTTGTGAGTGGAAGACTCACTGCAAGACATTGCAAGACGGCATACATTGCAAGGGGGCTTTCCTCTTCTTTGTATATGTTTGAAATGCGCCTTCAAAGCTGACACGCAAGTAGTGTCGAGCCCTACCCACCAAACGGCTGTGATATTGAAGTTTTGAGGTTATCACACAATGCTGCTGCTGCAGAAGCGCTGACGGGCGCCTGGCAGTGTGGGCATGCGGACTGCCACTAGTGTTTTTGCTTGAACACGATGTGATAAGATAACGGTACACATTTAAATTTCTAGAAGTTACTGTGCTTTGTTTAGTGGGTTAGGATATGATCAACAGCATTGCGGTGGTTTCAGACCTTGGTACCACTAGTGGCGCTTGGTCCCGAGATCCCAGTGCCGGCACCAACATTGCAACCTGGCACTGGCACCCTTGTTGCTTTGCCCACTTCGGAGAAAGCACAGCAAAGACAAAGCTGAACGCAGAGCAAGTTTGCCCAGGCTGGAAGTTCAGGAAGTTCAAGAAAGCCGGGAGCTCGCAGATTTGTGCGATGCAGTCAGCAGTGACCTGTTGTACAGGTACATCACCGCTGGGCGTGATGGCTTTGTAAAGGACTGGGACAGGGGATACATTAGCAGCAGAGAAATAGAAAAGAAGTTGGGACAAATTCAGAACAAGTCGATTTCAGGTGTGGCATCCCAACCTTACACTTCACAAAGCCATTGATGCTATGATCCCAGCTGAAGTGACGACCGCACCGGTAATTTAAAGGCCTTTGGTTCGCCTCTTCTTGCAAGGTGGGCAACACCAGCAGCTGGCTTTCAGCGTGCTGCTGGATGCAGAAGCAACCTTGCTTGCAACCTTGCTTTGTTTGTTTCGGAGTTCGGTTGCTTTCTTCACTTTTGTTCAGCATGATTTCTCCTTGCGTCAATCTGCCTGACAAAGGTCCAGAAAATTGGCGGTCGCTTCTTCCAGCCATGGGACTGAGTGATTTGTTTTTTCTGTTCATTTGCCGAATGACTTTCATTGATATACTGCTTTTCGTCATTCCAGGCTTTCGGATATTCTTCTACGACAGTTCCTTCAGTTCTGGACTTGGCAGAGGTGTGGCGAGATTTTGCTGATGCTGGTGGCCTTGGCAAGGTCTTATCACCCACATAGACCACAAGGATGGAACGTTCATTCCCCGGAGTGTTGGATGGCCTCCACGGAACGCATCATGAATTGACATGCTAAACCCGAGGCCTTTATGCTTGGGCTACACAGAGTCTGAGACTGAGATGTCTGCTGACCTGAGACGTACTCTCAGGCTTTGGCGGCTTATCTTGGTGAAGTTCTTCACTTAGGTCCCATGAGAACAAGAGTTCGGAAAAGGAGATCCTCATGGTTGGCCTGGAGCTCTGAGAGGAAAAACGAACCAAAGCAAATCTAGTGGCAAGTAGCAGGCTTTAACATGCTTTAACAATACTCCTTATTAGCATATATCAGATTTTCTTATAGTATGAATGGGTGATGATTGACTTGGAATCCGCGGTCTCCTGGCCTAACATCAGACCCAGACTAGCAGTTTGGATTGAATCCTGCCACCAACGTCCGTGCCACTTTCTTGATATCTCTTAACATTCGAACGGCAGTTCCATTTGCTAGTTCGGAGCAATTTACGAGCAATGTGGGAGCGTGGGACCACACTGCATGACGAAGAATGACATTCCAGTTGTGACTTTCATCTTGAGCTGCTTTACCCGTTGTTGCGAACAAAAAGGCTATCTACTGCAGGACTGCAGTCTTGGCCATTACTCTGTACATCCCCATGCTAGCAACACGAATGCCTGAGGTGATGACAAGGGCTACGTGTCTTGGCGCATAGCGGTTTCATGTGACTAAAGTTGAGTCTTCTGTAACGAGGTCACAGTGTTCCCCTTGGATGCGAACGATTGGGAGACCGAGCAGAAGACCGATGGCAAGGAGACGGAGAAAGGAAAGAAAGGGTTGCTTGGACAAAGTCAGTCTCAGATTCTCAGAAGTGGAGCAAAAACTGATAGCGCCGTTGAGACGTGAGAGAGTCCTGCGGTTTCCTGCCACAACGCATTGACAATGCAGGTCTCGTATTAAGTACCACAAGGACTGGGTGACCAAGGCACGGCATTTGCATGATGCGTCACCAAATGTGAAGGTTTTGACATGTTTGTAGGTGGGCTTTGTATCCCAGTTGCAAGCCATGGTCACATGCAGCCTGGATGGAGAGATCAACATTTGTGATGTTCACACCAATCAGCATGAGCCTCAGACGGGAATGTGTTGACTAGCGTTCGGATGGATACCTTGTCATCAACTTACCCACAAAAGCTTTGAAAGCTCCTGTGCCACTTTCATCAGTCAAAGGGCCCTGACTTTAGGGCTGATCCATCACGTGAGCCGGCTCAGCTGGATGGACCAAGCCTTAAGGTGGGTTTCAGTCCTGTCACAGGGGCTGCAGACAAACTTTTGGGGATTAGGTTGCCCGGTGCACTGTCACCCATTCCCCATCAGCTCCTTAGTCCTTGCTTTCCTGGTGGGGTGGCTCCTTGGCATCCTCTGTCGGGCCTCCTACCTTGGCCTGATCCCTCCTCTCGTTCCCGACCTTCGGTTGGTCAGGAGCCCTCCTCAGGCCGCTACCGGCCCGGCTGCCGACAGGCTCCATCTCTACTTGTATGAGCGTGGCCTCCGACGACGAGAACACTGAGCTTTCCGTGTGCGGGCCCTCTTCGTGGTCTCCGGACCCCTGTCCCTTGCTGTTGCCGCTGTTCAAGCGGTCACCTCCTGGCATCATCGCCTTACTTCCAGGCATCGTGATCCTTCACCGGATCTTTCTGATTCTTTCTCAGTGCAGCCGGCAGCTACTTCAGCAGCAAGGCCTTCTACGAGTCGGGCGGAGACCCGGCGTGAGATCGAGAGTTCATTTCGTGAGGTGCCTTCTGGCCTTCTTGGCTATCTGGTGGTGGACTCAGTGGGGAGGACAGGATTCGTCGAGCTTGGAAAGCCGGGTGCTGGGCAAGAGCAGTTCTTACCGGGAGGGCAGCTACACCAAACGCCAGTGAGCAGCTCAATCTGCGGCCTCGGATCTACATTGTCCTTCGTTCAGAAAGGTTGTCCGCACCAGCTGGATTCTCTTCATCGCACTCCTTCTTCCAGGCAGTTGGGAAGAACTTCACTGAGGGGGACACGCTCTCGCATTCCTTCCCTTCGGAGTCGGAGGCTGGTGTGTATTGCCAGGCGGCAAACGTCGCTTATCCTGAGATCCAGGCGTGATGGCAGAACAGGGCGATGGCACTATAGAGGTGGAGGAGGAAGAAGAATTCATGTTGTTCGAGCAGCTGGTCCCTTTGACGGCCGGCGTGGTACCATATGTCATTGCATGGCCCACCGACTTACATCCTGGCACTTCCTTCGAGACAATGTTCTTGGTGGTTCTCAAAAGGGCAGGAGGTTTGATCGGTGCAATCCCCTTTGGGCGTGATTTCAGACGAGGAAATCCAGCAGGGCATGTCAGAGGCTTCAGCTCATGCAATGTTGGGTGCCTCTACAACTATAATGGTGCCAGGAGTGCATCAAGATCCAAGCGGCAGTTGGGAGTTGTCTGGCATCGAAGTGGCTCTTCTCTGGTGGCGGACTTTACCTCCCACGTATCAGATTTGATGAGGCTCATGGTTCCCGAAGAGCCTGTGTTTGCCTTCGTATCAGGACAGCCTGCTATCCTTCCCCGTCCGGAAGAGCTTGTCAGTCAGGTGCTCGAATGGTTGGCTGCTCAAGGTTTGGCTCGACCAGAACGGCCCTATCAGATGGACGAAGAGGTAGAGGTGACGGCGCAGAGTGGAGAGGCTGCTGTTCCGCCAAAAGCAAAGGGTCGAAGTCCTCGTGCTGGGCGCGATGGGGCTACGTTTTCAGGAAAGGCATCAACTGCAAAGCCAAAGAGAGTGACTACAGCATCCCTGGCTCAGAGTTTGGAGGAGGTGCTCACTACACTTCCGGCGTTGAGTTCACAGGTCCAGCTTCTTGTCGATCGTCAAAGTACTTTGGAGAAGCGACTGGTGGATGCTTCCTCAGTGCCCAAGCAGTTGGCTCAGCCCCTGTCGGCTACTGTGGCCCTCTCGAAGCAGGGAGCCGTTGTGGACGCAGCAAAGCTCTTGAGAAGCCCTCCACGGACGATTGGGACTCCTTTGAACCCGCATTTGACTCCGGCGCATCCTGTCGCACCTCCGCCCCATCGAGAGCTGGAGGAAGAATTCGCAAGAATTCGCAGAGACCGAGACTCCCTCAGTTGCAAGAGCAATGCTTGCCCAGTCTGCAGCGCTTACTCAGCTGGTGTCTCATCTGACGTCCGCTGCTTCAGATCCGATGGTCGACCTCTCGGCTTCCGGAACAAGTTCATCTACAAAAGGAGCGTTGGGGAGGGCCAAGTTGCAGGCAGAGCTGGCTACTCATCGTGGGGTGTTTTTCGATTCCGTGATGAGGTCAATGGCAAGGAGGATGTCTCCTACTACAGCATCTTCCGAGCTGACGGCAGACCAGTTGCTCATTATGGGAATCAGCGGAGTCAATGGAGCGGTTCGGAGGATATGGTCGTCATCGAGATCTAGGTCTCCTTCAGTTCCAGATGATGACTGTGTTCGACTTCCTGATGGCCAACAACCTGGGGGCGGCAAAGGATACCCTGGCACTGACCATTGTGATGATGGAGCAGGCAGTGCTCGACAACGGGCGCTTCGAAGTTGCCTCTCTGTTGGGTTTGATGGAAGATCCCCCGGCTTCGATCTACACAAACCGCTCCTCTCTGGCGATGTCGCGAGCCCGGGCTTTTGCACCTCTTGCAGACCAACGTTGGGTGACTACAGCGCTGGCATAATTGAAGGAGTTGGATGCCATTTCTGCAAAACGGGTCGAGTTCGCATCAGGCCATCCGGGTTCTTCGAGTTCTACAACAGCCAGCGGCGATCCGGCAGGAAAGGCAAGCCCCGAGGGCCAGTACCAGAATGTGGACGCGGAGGAGGAGAACTAAAGGAGGTCTCTCCTCATAGCAGTTTTGGTGGATCTCTTGGCAGTGCACTACAGTTGCTTGACCTCAAGACCAGCTTTGTGGGGTGGATGATTGCGCTACCTCGTTTTGTTTTGGCCTCGCGCGCAGCTTTGTCTTGGAATTTGCGAGAGTCTTTTTCCGTTCGCTGGCAAGGTTCCTCCTTGCGTACCGCGATGTTCCCACTGCCTGTTCCTTTTCCTGGAATATTTGACGGCAGTGGCCCTGGGCTTAGCAAGAAGCGCTTGAGGGTTCTGGCACAGAAACGTCTCCTGCACCTCATCGTCTTGGCGCTGAACAGACTTTATTTGGGCAGATTTGCGAGTCTTGCTGAGTTGAGGAGGCCTCCTTCACCTTTGCAGCTGTCTATATTAGACCGGCTCTATGGCTTTATTACCGTGAGTGGACTTCGTTCTGAGAGCTTCAAAGTACCTCCAGGACGATCCGGCCCAGAATTGATTGCATGTTTGGCAAGGCTTGAAAGCTTCTTGGCCGAGCGCCCTGAGTTCAATGGCAGCTATACTCGTGAGCGGTCGCCTACTTCTTTCAAGCCTCCGGCCCTACCTGTTGAGCAGTATCCACAGCTAGCACCTTACAAGTCATTGGACGCTCAGCGTCTTCTGCTTCGTGGAACGGGAGAGTGGCCCTTGGCTGACTACCTGGAAGGTGAGCTTTGGCTACCCTATGTTGAGCCCTCTTTTCTTTGCATGGAGGACCTGACGACCCTTCGGTTTGGCCTTCGTTTGCAAGGGAGGACCCCGCTGAGTACAAGGCTTTGGCAATGAAATGGGAGAAGCTTGGGCTGTTGAGGCTCTTTGAGGGTCCTTTGATTGAGGGCCACTTTTGCAAGGTGTTCAATGCCTTCAAGAACTCTGAAGTTGACAGGCAGATTGGTGATCGCAGGATCCCTAATAGCCGTGAGAGAACTACTTCAGGACCTTCGGCTTTCTTGCCCTCACCATTGCAGCTATGCAGCATGTACGTTCCTCGTTGGACTCATGGGCTTCGTTGTTCTATGACTGACAGACGGGACTTCTATCATCAAGCAAGTGTCTCTTCCAGTCGGGCTCGTTCCAACATCACTCCTTTCAGCTTTGATGCTCATGTCTTTGCGGGTTCGCGTGCCCTTGAGATTTCGGAGGATGAGCTACGCCAGCTGAAGGTCGGGGGGCGTGAAGTACATGGTGACAGTTTGCGCTCCAGCACCCAGAACGACCTCAAGTTGGAGAATGCAGAGCGTCCTGCCACGGCAGGGGTTGAACAGCAGCTCTACCCGGCTTTTGGAGCTCTCTATCAAGGAGATCATCTTGGTGTTGAATTTGCTTTGAGAGCCCATGAGGTCCTATTAGAAAGAGAAGGACTGTTGCTTGGCTCCAGGCGACTCAGAAACAAGTTTCCTTTGCCTGTTGGTGATGTGTGGGAGGCGCTGATCATCGATGACTACTTTTGCATCTCCTCTCAACCCCTTGGCTTTGAGGCCGGGGACTCTGAGGCCTACTCCTGTTTGCAACAAGCAAGAGCGGCCTATGAGAAGCAGAAGCTACTTGGCCCACCAGAGAAGGACCTTGTTGCCGTTGAGCTCTTCAAAGCTGCTGGTGCTGAAATAGATTCATCGGCCTGTGCTACACGTCTTGGGGTCGTACCTGCTGCCGCCCCTTTGTCGAAGAGGATTGGTCTGGCTGCTATCTCATTGAGGGTCGCAAAGCTCCCAGCCATCTCTAGTAGCCTCGCTTCCAGGCTTTCTGGCAGCTGGGTGTCGGTTCTCCTTTTTCGCCGGTGCATATCTTGTCTGGCTGATCGGCTTTTCTCCATCGGTGCGGGCCTTATGGAGGAGGATGATGGCATGATTCATGCAGTCCCCCGTTCGACTGCGGAGGATCTTGTTGAGCTAGCTGTGATGTCGCCTCTTATGTTTAGTGATCTGACTGCGCCTTTCTTGGACAAGGTCTATGCCACGGACGCTTCAGTTGAGAAGGGTGCAGTTGTATCTACAAAGCTTGATCGATCAAAGGTGGGCGCCTTGTGGAGAGGTTGTGACAAGCGTTGATGCTACACGCGCCTGGACAATCCTTTCTTTGCTGCCTTGCGCCACCTTGGTTAGGATGAGGGTGAAGACAGGGAGGAGTATGGACTATGCTCCTCTAGACCTTTGAGCTTGCAGTATGCCTTCATCGAAGTGTTTGGCGGAGCTGGCAGAGTGTCAGAAGAGATGGCAAGACTGGGCTTCGTGGTTGCTCCTGTGCTGGACCTCTCTGACTCACCTGCTTATGATTTGGGCAACCTTCGTCTCCTGGAGTGGTTGATACATATGTTGGAGACTGGGAAAATCAGATCCATATTTTTGTCACCGCCGTGCACTACCTTTTCACCTGCGGCTCATCCGGCTGCGCGATCTTACACATGTCCAAAAGGGTGGAATAGACATTTGCCAAAGGTGCTCCTCGGAAACGTGATGGCCTTTAGAAGTTTGGTGCTCCTTCGAGTTTCCCGTCGATACCGGCGGCCTGCTGGCTTGGAGCAGCCTCGTCGATCAAAAATGGCCTGGTTGGATGAGTGGCGTTCCCTGCTTGAGCTTGGCTTTGAGGAGGCTGTCGTCGTCGTGGCTTCATGTGCATGTGGAAGTCCTCATCAGAAAGAGTTTCGACTGCTGGTCTATATGTTGGATGCAGCGTCTATGACAGTCCATTGCACTCGTGGCCACAAGCGTGTAAAGGTCCAAGGCAAGTACACAAAGCCCTCGGCTGCGTATGTGCCCGGAGTCGCTCAGCGCTTTGCTTTAGCTTTTGCTCGGGCATTGAGGAGGTCAAAGCCGGAGGAGATTCAGCAGGGGGACGGCCTTGAGAGCGTTGTTGTCAATGACCTGTTGCTGGCCAAGCATTGGGAGGTTGAGAGAAGTTGGCGTTGGAAGAAACACAGCCACATCAATGTTCTTGAGATCGGTTCTGTGGTTTCCTTGTTGAAAGAGGCTGCAATCTCTACACCGTGCAGTCGCTTTCCAGTGCTGGTTGACTCACAAGTTGCAAAGGGAGCTTTGGCCAAGGGGAGAAGTTCAGCACGCACACTGAAACCTGTCATCAACCGGGCTTCAGCTTTGCAGGTCTCAGGTGGACTTTACCCTGCCTATGGATTTGCCCCTACAAGATACAACGCTGCAGATCATCCCACTCGAGACCGGCCTATGCCTCCGCCATGCTCTCAATCTATTGTGAGCATCCTACACGAGGATGAGATTGCACTTCTTCAGAACGTTGGGCTATCCCGTGGACATGCTGGCTGGACTCGCCTTGTCGTTCTCCTCATCTGTCTGTCGTCTAGCAAAGCTGCTTCAACGCCTTGCCCCTAAGGCCTTCCGATGGACTTCACTTCGGACTGTCGGGCCTGGATTTGGCCATCCTCTGGACTTCTCTGTCGTATGGATTTTCCTGGTCTTGGGTTTCTCTCTGGATTTCAGGTCTGGGCCGGATGGGGGCTTCTCGTTGTCGCTTCTTTCATCTGCATAGGATTTTGGACTGTTCGCTCTCTCCATTCCTGTGCTGGGCAACCCTCGAAAAGACCCCAAAGAAGACTTCTGCAGCCCCGACAGATAGGACTGATAGGTGGGACGCTTAGCCGGCTAGTTTTTGTAGCTTGCACTCATGGAGCCATGGCACCTTTAGCCCCGAAGTCTGCTGCTGAGACGGCGAGAGCAGTCCTCAGAGCAGAAGGTCAGTTGGTTGCCGACCGAGCTGTACGAAAGCAGACAAAGGACAATCGCGCCGTGGTGGTCAGGGTTTGGAAACTGGTTGGAGGATGAAACTTCGTATACTCTTGACCAGCTGATTTTTGGGAAGCCTGCTGACCCCGAATGCATAGCAGATTGTTTGGTTCAGTATGGGCGCGACCTCTACCGTGCTGGCAAGAGTTACCAGAAGTTTCCTGAAACCATCAATGCCTTTGCAGCTGCTCGGCCTCTGGTGAAGAGGCAACTGACAAAGGCGTGGGATCTGGCGTTTGCATGGTTGCAAGATGAACCGCATTCTCACCATCCTGCCCTTCCTGCAAGCATCCTCATGGCAATGGTGAGCGCAGCCCTGATTTGGGGCTGGGCTCGAGAAGCCGCCATTTGGGCCCTGACGTGGAGCGGGATGCTTCGGGTAGGAGAAGTGTTGATGGCCACCCGTTCGGATTTAGTGTTGCCATCAGATTCGGCTCCAGGTGTGACCCACGTTCTCTTGAAGATCCATCAGCCGAAAACTAGAGGCAGGTGGGCAAAGCATCAAGCTGCGAGAGTCGATCCCATCGACTTGGTCAGCCTACTTTCCAGCGTCTTCAAGCACGACTCACTTTTTATGGCCAATGTCGGCTGGGACGCTGCGAAAGAGATTTGTCACCGTGTTGGCTGAGTTGGGACTCCCCCACACAGAAAAATGGTGAAGTTCGACCCTACGAGCTTGCAAGCCTCAGGGCTGGTGGAGCGACGTGGCTCATGAGCATGACAGAAAGCCCTGACCTAGTCAGGCGCCGTGGACGTTGGCAGGCGATGAGAACTTGTGAGATCTACCTTCAGGAGATTTCTGCGGCAACAGGTTTAGCTCGTTTGCCAGAGTCGACAGTACAGAAGATCCAGGCCTTGGCAGCTGTGTTCCCTTCAGTGGTTGAGCGGTGCTGTTTTTTCATGGCCTGTCAGATCCCTTTTAAGGCTTGGTATATCCTTTTTACCACCACCAAGGAAGCCGGATGAAGTGGGAAAGAATGGAAGATGCCCCTTAAGTGGGGCTGACGTTGACCTCCACCTGCGAGCGCGAAAATGAGGCACTGACTTTAGTGCTGATCCATCACGTGAGCCGGCTCAGCTGGCCCCCCACTCCCAGCCCTTTTTGAGCTCTGGGTTCCTTGGTGGTGGAAGATGCCCCTTAAGTGGGGCTGACATTGACCTCCACCTGCGAGCGCGAAAATGAGGCACTATATACATGTTTTAAACATGTGGTCCATTTTCCTGGGTTCCTTTGATGCTCTTCGCAATTGTTTGCGAGGCGAAAGGAGGGAAGAGATGCTGTCCGGCTTCACAAGAAAGGCCCTCTTGCCAGCAAGAGTATGAATATGTCTATTTTCGTTGGTTTGGAGCAATTGGCAATGCATTTTGCTTTTGAAGGCGTTCACTCTTGGTGCTGGTGCAAGAGCTATAAGTTCTTCGCATCAGGAGGTGAGCGGAATTGTGTGCTTCAGATCACTTGACAAGTGGAACATGCCTGATCTGGTCCTCTTGAGGCTCAGACCGGCAAATCATCATTTGGAATCCATACACCCAGAAAGCAATGAATTATCTTCAAGGGTACTGGGCTGAGTTGAAGATCCCTTTCTCTTCAGAGGCGGCATCAATTTCGTTCACTTTGAGCTCTTTTCCGTGAGGCACAATGCTCCAGTGCTTGATGTGCTGGTCAATGAAGCGCAGCAGCTGGGGTCGAATTGTTTTGTGAAATGACTCTATGACTCTATGAGAGAAGGAATTTCAATGATGCTGATGCTGAAAGGTGGTACAGTGTCAAGGCAGTAGCGTTTCACAGCTGACATGGCGAAACAACTTCGTACAAGGCACCAGCTTATTTCCATGTCTGTTGACAAGGTTGTGAAGGCCCTGCCTGTCATGCAGAGAAGTGCTGAGTGTTGCAGTGAGATGCGAATCCTTGCAGGTGTGGGATATCTTGAACTACCAATGCATTCAGACATTCACGGACAAGACAGAATACAAGCCAGAGGCTGGACATCAACCGCCGTGACAGTAGAGTGAGCAGACTTGGTTCTGCATTTGATTTGTACTACCATCCGAACATGGCTGCAAGCGTAGTGTCCAGGATAGACTGACGTGCATGGCATTTGATGAAGAAGGCCTCCAGTACTCTTTTTTAAATTTCAATTGACCTTTACTGCGTTTCTTGGAGGTCCAGCCCTGGTGCTTTGTTCTAGCTTGATCAATGTGCTTCCCGTCAGTGTCAAGGCGTGCACAAGTGATCACGAGAGAGGGTGTGGGCTCGTAGAGACATGACCTCCGAGGTCGAGACAAGCCGTACACATTTGGCACCCATTGTCTGGGTCCAAGTAGCTCGTCGACTTGCGTCACCGTCACATTCCCAGAATAGACCGAACTAGTAACAAGAAGCTACTAGTAGCGATGCCCTTGTTACTAGTAGTTCACTCGAATTTTTCTTCGGAGTTCCGACGGAATGCTTTGTGTCGCTTCAGGTGGGAGCTCTCCACAATGATGTCTTCCATCAAATCATCTCGGGGGACCAATTGGGAACCGTTTCAGCGACTCGGTGAAGGAAGGAGACGCACGAGAATCGAGAGAATTGGGAAAGGTGCAACTTAGAGAACCACCAGGCAGTGGACCTCTACTGGACAGAACAATGGATGAAATGCGTAGATTGAGTACTAAGTGCTAGGAAGAAAGTACACTGGGCAGCAACAGCTTTTTCTTTTTGTGGAACCACTCCTTTTTTTGCATTTCGCATTCAGGATTGCAGTTTTTGTAGAGTTTGGAACATTTGTCGTTTCAGGTGTGGGACATCCAGACAGGAAAGCTTGAATTTGAGTTTCGAAGAGCTCATCAGGCACTGGAGCCCTTCACTTCTTTCGCCTCAGAATTGCTCGCGTCGCCAGGATCACAAGATGACCTGTATGGCGTTTGATCGGTCAAAGCGCTGTTTGTACACAGGGGGGGAGGTGCCAAAGGGTTGAATCAGTCATTCATTGAACGAATGCTGCATGTCATCATAAATCAAGGTTTTATAGTTCAATGGTCATGATGACTTCAGGAAGGGCTTGTCAAACTATGGAATTTTTCTTCCGGACAGCAGCAGGGTGCTCAGCAATTCCAGCTTGCACTGGTAGCAGTGGAAAAGGTCGGCTTTGCTTTCCTCTCGCTTTGTCACCCAGTCCAAATAGCGTCCTTGCTTCTAGTAGCTTCCTTGCTCCTAGTAGTACGGCCAGGAGCCCCTAGTAGCTTCTTGTTCCTAGTAGCGATGCCAGGAGCCCCTAATAGCTTCTTGCTCCTAGTAGCGATGCCAGGAGCCCGTAATAGCTTCTTGCTCCTAGTAGTACGGCCAGGAGCCCCTAGTAGCTTCTTGTTCCTAGTAGCGATGCCAGGAGCCCCTAGTAGCGTCCTTGCTCCTAGTAAGCCGTGGGTTGGGCCTCTTGCATGTAAATATCCTGTGGACTGAGACCCTTCACCCTCAAAGGCATAAAGCATACGGGAGCGTAGCCACCAGAGCAGCTTGCGCAGAACGTGCTGCGTAGAACCAAAAGTAGTGCGTAAGCCAGAAATCTACGGCCCCTTCAGTGTTTTTTTGTCCCGCCACGCCGCCACGCTCCTTTCCTTCATCCCTTCTTTCTGTTTTTTTTTGGCAAGGGCGCAAGAGGTTTTAAGCCTTTGAAGTCACCAGACAGGAGAGTACTGTATGCTCCCTGTGCTGTCCACCGAAAAACTCGAGCCCACGTTTGCGGATACTGCCTCGCAAGCAAGCATCACGAACTGTCACGCAGACATTCTGTTTCTTTTTTAAGCACCTTCAGGGACACTTGTGCCTGATGGTGCTCCAAGGTTGCGCACCTTCACCATGAGGCAGCCGGCTGAGATTCGGAGCTGGGCCCTCGGAACTTTTCCCAAACGCGCAGACTTCAGGTACCAGTATAAACAGGTTTAGATTAGATACAAGAGATACTCAGAAGGAATACATTGAACAGAAAGAATGAGAACGTTATGAAAAGGGACGGTAATGAGGTAGGGCCACTCTTCCTTTAGATAAACAAATATACAATAATATACATTAATTATAGTAAGGGCTCCGCCCTGGTGCCGCCGACCCCTTTTCTTGGGGGAGGAGCTGGAAGACCAGAAGCCGGACAGGGATTGCTATAAGCATACACCGGCTATGTGCTCAAGACTCTGTATTCTTGATTCCTTTTACTCGGGCTTAGGCTACACTACGGACGCGCCAGTGTATGCACAGTCCTTGTCAGGAAAGCTGAGATGAGCTGTGTGCCTGAAACCTTGACATATCACACTGGTGGTGCTTGCTGCCGGCGGCGCTGCTATAACCATACACCGGCTATTTCCTCAAGACACTCTATTCTTGACACCTTTTACCAGTGCTTATCCTACACTACGGACGCCCTAGTGTATGCACAGTCCTTGTGATGCTTACCCCTCGTTCCGGCTGAAGGCATAGATAAGCGGGGGGTAAATCGACCCCCCAGATTTGCCATAACCATAAGCCGGCTATTTCCTCAAGACACTCCACTCCTCATACCTTTTACCAGTGCTTAGCCTACACTACGGACGCCCTAGTGTATGCGCAGTCCGTATGAGGTTACCCCTCTTTCCGACTCAAGGCATACAAAAGCGGCGGGTAAATTTCCCCCCCCGATTTGCGGAGCACGCATGTTCATGCTTGCCAACGAGTGCACCCGGGTTGTTCCAATGTACCCTGCCCAGTGAGCGATGTCGCATTTACATTCTCTAGCGCCAAGTATGTACATAGCAAGCTGCCTCCCAAAACATGTAATCCCTACACGCTTTGCCGACTATGTAACTAGTACATCCGGTGCGACTCGGCTAGCGTTCGACCTGCTCCCCCTGGCTTCAAGTGATGCTTATCCCTCGTTCCGGCTCAAGGCATACATAGCGGGGGGTAAATTTCCCCCCAACATTGGCAATAACCACAAACAGGCTATGTCCTCAAGACACTCTATTCCATATACCTTTTACCGGTGCGTCTCCTACACTACAGACGACCTAGTGTATGTACAGTCCGTATGATGTCAGAAATGCTTACCCCTCTTTCCGACTGAGGGCATACAAAAGCGGAGAGAATTTACCCCCCAGATTTGCTGATCACGCATCTGCGTGCCTGCCAACGAGCGCACCCGGGTATTTGCTGATCACGCATCTGCGTGCCTGCCAACAAGCGCACCCGGGTCGTTCCAATGTACCATTCCCAGGAAATGTTCCAATATGCATGTCCTGTTTGTGAGGCGTCGGTGAGCAGCAGCGTGCGCACAGGCCGAATAGATCACCGCCGTGCGTGCGGGCATCGTTTTCGTGTGAAAGACGGCGACGTAGCCGCCAGGAAGTGTAACTATGTTTGTCCATTTTGCAAAGGGCACGTTGCGAGCAAGCTGAAAACAGGGCAAATAGATCACCGAACCGTGTGCGGCAACCGGTTTTACGTCAAAGAAGGCACTGTTAGCGCGCAGACACGCCAGCATCCGCAAAGGTGCCCCGCATGCCACAGTGTGGTCTGGTCAACACTGCTCTTTGGGCGCATTCAGGCCACACACAACACACCTTCAGGAAAACAATGCCCGACAAAGAGCTGGCTAGTTCCGGAGAGCAAGCGCGACACGACGAAATAGAAAGCGACCATGAATAACACCGGCTTTCGCAGGCAAGGCTGCGGTGCAGGAATGTGCAGCCAAGGGTCCCGGGAAGGGGTTTGGAGCCTGGGCAACGGCGCTGCCAGCTGCGGAGAAGGGTTTGAGGGCGGTCCAAAATGGCTATAATGTCGCTTTCGGAAACCCATAAGAAGAGAAGAGGCAGGCCTGCCAGCTGCCGAGAAGGGTTTGAGGGCCGTCCAAAATGCGTTAACGTTGCTTTCGGAAGCCCATAAGAAGAGAAGAGGCAGGCCTGCCAGCTGCCGAGAAGGGTTTGGGGGCGGTCCAAAATGCCTAACGTTGCTGGCAGGCCTGCCAGCTGCCGAGAAGGGTTTGGGGGCGGTCCACAATGC